CCCTTGACGCTCGTAAAACCATTACCCATGACCAAGCGAACGCAACTTCTGTATAAGCCCTATCGGTGTGCGCGTATAAGCGGGCGACATTGAGACATTCTTTGATGATACTGGAACTTCTTTTACTTGCGCACTTCTGTAGGTCCGTAAGACGAACCCAATTTCCTCGGCGACGGCAAGTCGACCCTTTGGATTTGTCCGACATGCCCACGGGAAGAATTCAGTTTTCTCGTTAGTGATTGGTTATCTTCTCGACCGTTATCTTTTCGTAACACATTGTTTTCAATGATTTAATGGGCTGCACGATGTTATTGCAAAAATTCGAAAAATTATCAACAATCATGCTGTCTTGTAAGTTTTATTTCAGATTATTTACTGTTTATTAACTAACGTGTGTCATCTGAATTTTTAAAGCGTATGCTCTCTCTCTCTCTCTCTCTCTCTCTATATATATATATATAATTTATTTATGTTGTGAACGTATATATATTTTCTGTATATATTGGTTGCAAATACTTTTAATTATGTTTAATTAGTGAGATGATTTCTCTAAATTTTATAACAGTTAATGTCTAAAATGTTCAAAATTCTGTTCTCGCGAAGTCAGGAGAACGAGTCGCAGACTCTGATGTTTAGATAAGTCAGTTAGCGACTCGCTTTAGCGCGTTCCAACGTAGTGCGTTTTTTGCATGGATATTTTCTTATTGCTCTTTCTTTTCCCTTTTCCTCTTTCGCTCCCACTCATTTCTAACGAGTGATTCATCATCGGTGTCGCCTTCTCTTCTTTCTCTGATTAACTGGCTGGCTGGCTGGATAGCTAGCTGGCTGGTTGGCTGTTTGGTCCCTGGATCTTCCGTTTATTCTGTTTTTTCTCCTTTCTTTCATCTCTCTCTTTTTCCTCCAAGCTACTCCATATACTTGTTTTATTCCTACACTGAAGTCATATCAACACATAATTCTTTCTTGTTATTAAAGACGTACTTTTAGTTTTTTCACATATTCTGAGTTTTCTTTTTTGCATATCCCCGTCATTCATTATTATTTCAAATTAGTCGAATTTAATAGTAAAATTAATTTCATTTTATGGTAAAAATCTAAGATTTTTTATATAAATTTGCGAATATTATTTCCCTCAAATTACTTATACAATATTTACAATTAAGTTGTATAATTAAGCGTATTATTATACAAAAAAATATGTGGAACAATTTTTTTACTTTAATGATATCATCTTATTGGTGTGAAAAGAGATACAACAGGAATATTTCTCTTCAGATATTTTGGTTACATCTGCGGTGTAAATACAGGGGGCACAAAGGAAAAATTAAAAGCCAAACATTTTTATTTATCCATTCTCCACTTTACGCATACACGCATCAAATCTTTTCTCAATTTTTGAAAAAAAAAACACCAATATACATGACACATAATTAACGCATTCAAGTCCAAGCAGAAGATGATGTAATAGTACTGGATGTAATAGGTGATGTAATAGTACATAATCGACAATAATATCTAAGTAGCAGGATGCGTTTTATACATTAATTTATTTTTATTCATTGAGGAGGATCGCATTAAGGATCGAAACGTCTGAAATATTATATTACATTAATTGTATAACATTTTTTAAGAAAAATATACGTAAGACATTTCACTCGAATACCAGGTTTGAATAGATAGCTCCTTTTTGAATTTATGATAGTGACTCATTGAATTTTTTCATTTTTTTATTTTGCAATATATATTTTACAATAACATTTTTAGTAAATAAAATCTTTTGTAAAAGAAACTTTTTAAAAAATTATATTACATTCTTATCTCATTATTATTCTTTTTATCTTTATTATGATACAACTCTGCTTTAATGGCCGTAAACTTTTGAAATCAAGTGTTTGAAGACAGTACATAGTTTACATGCTGACGCGCGCGCTTCTGGCCTATTTATTTCCCAATAATTTATCATTTAAAGGGGTTTCTATTTGATCTGGTAAAGTTGTTTTATTCAGTATTAATGAATCTTTAAGCGCACCGAGACTGAGTTCGAAATATCCATGCATTTTGATTAGTATTGAAGAACGAGCATCGTTCGTTTCGAAAAGTCCACCTTCGGTCCGGAAGGTGGGATTCCAGTAATTCGGTCATGGAATGGATGGGCGACGACGAGAGAGCGAGACGAACGATGAAGTGGGCCGGGTGAAGGGATAGGATAGGGATGGGAGGGCGTTTCACGGCACCCTGCATGGGGTAGCTTGCAACCTCACGCGACACTAGAGCCATCTATATCCCGGGAGATTTATGAGTTCCTGGTGCAGCGGCTGCTCGTAGCAACTACACGCTACACAATATCGGTATAGTGCAATGGTAGTGCTGCCCCCTGTCGCGGGATGAGCGCACTGTTGCTCCGCGGGGGTTTCGCGCACTCGCGTTCGTTCAACGCCGTCCTGGCAAAAAATTCTGACTCGATCTCAATCCAAACCCCTCTCCAAGCCATCCACTGGCCCGTCAGCCACAGCTTCGACGATGTATGCATCCATAGGTGTACCTGTTCTGCCCTTGAGAAATCGCATATTTTGTACCGCTACGGTTTCTATATACCTACGGGCGTGCGAATTAATGTATCTTTCCAGAGACTGTGTACCTAACAAACTTAAGATGGATGAGAATTTATTATTTTTTGTTATTACAATATTTTATTTGCCATAATAACTGAATAATTTGTATATCGAACAATTAACTTTACTAATAGAAGACGTAATAATAATTGAAAAGAGTATTTACATAATAATTATTATTTCGATTATAACCATCAATTTAATAAAAAACGTTTCAAACAGTAACACATTCTAATATAACAAGCATATTTTTAAATATATTCTTGATAATATTAACTTTGAATAAATTTGAAAATATTTAAAAAAGAAATTAAATATTCACACGTTTGTTCTATTATCAATAGATGATAATGATTGCGCTAAAGAATAATTCAGGTAATTTCTACATATATTATAATTAAAATTTAACAGCATGAAAAAAAGAGGCGGGTCAACCTTGATTTTTATTCACGATCGGCCAAGCGTAGAGAATGGCAAGCCGAGATTTTCGAACAGCCCCCTAGACACAGCCGTCCGTTCGCACTCCGCGTGATATTCTGCAGGGGTAACCAATGAGTATAACCCGGAGTGGGGCTTCACCCCTGGTGCTATGCGAGTACGGGACGATGACGACGGCGATATGAGTACTGGTATCTACCTATCTACCTATGCTTCTACACTCCATCCCACTTTGCCCCATCCCCTTGATGCGGCCGGTTTACGAGCAACCTGTGGTAACGAGAGCGATAGATAATAACTGCTCCGTGCTCAATTCCACTCCCTCTCATACCCCTTCTCAATCCTTTTGTCTTTCTCTTTTCCAGACACGCATCCGCACAAAAATACACGCATGTGCGCATATTCGTATATACATATATAGAGTCAGCTGCAATCTTTTTATCTTTTGCGGCTTATTTCTTGAACATTTCCTGTAATCTGATTAAATAGATCTCACCGATATGGCATGGAGAAAGAGAACCGGTTAAGATTTATTTGAACAGGAAAAATAGGATTACATTCACTTCTATGATATATATATATGTGTGAGACTCATAAAATTATAATTTTGAAGTTATTTTTACTTCTTGATAGAAGTGTCTCAGCGAATTACATAAAACGCACGACGTTGTTTTGCAGAGCCATATCGAGAATCGTGTTTCTGGTTTTTGCGAGTTTTAAGTATGAGAATTTATGGTGGCTTAAAAACTCTAGTTTCTCCTTCGGAAATCCTGATAAATGCTTACGGGAAGGATGCTTAGGTATGTACGCCAGACTCAGTTTCAGAACGTTGCGTACTTTTGGAAGGGCGAAGTAATTCTAGGCCGAACAGCAAACGGCGCGACTCAAATGATACAAGCGCGTGTAAACAATTTCCAAGTAACAAGGGTTGTGCGAGTTTGAAGCAAATTCTTGACAATTGTTTATTATCCAGAGTCGCTGTGATATTTTTTATAAATATTGATTTCCTCCTTATATAATAAGGGATAAAATTTAGTTGTAATTGTTTATGATAGATGGTAGAATATGTATACATATGTCACGAAGATAACTTTTGTATAATATACATTTAAAAATTCTGTACTTACATAAAACTTACACATGTAACATAATTAAGTAAGATATTTGTGAATAAATATAATTATTACATTCATATTATTATTCACATAGAAATTATTTTTAAAAAAAGCTAAAGATCCAGCTTCGTTTGTAATAGGCATTAAACTCTTACTTGCTGTTCACATATACGGTCTTAATAAATCGTTTATCATAATTATTATAATTTTTGTTATCTTAACTCTTTATTATTTAATATTGATCATGTAAACGAAATAGAATTATAGTGATGTAAAGTTTTCTCTCATTCCCCATGAGACCTAGACTAACCCTTTCGCTCTTAACGTGAACTATTGATATCGAGATACTAACACTACCAAAACTCAGACTCAACGTGCATGTGACCGGACAAGGCACCATGTGCATTCATTCTATTACAAAAGAAGCTGAACTAGCATTCGTGGCCCGACCCATCGCTTCCCTACCACGTTGTATATATAAATGTCCTAAGTCAAACTCCCAAACAGTTGGTCTTACGTGATGGTTTCGTTCTCTGAAAAGAAATAGAGACCTTTCACAGTTTTAAAAGATTTTAACATTTTACGTTGTAAATTTTAGTCTGACCATTACAGCAAATAGACCATCAATAATGACCTATTACATATATTTTAATAATATTTTTAATTTCTCATTAATATTATAATTTCTTATTGATATAATTTCTTTTGTACTTTATTAATGCGCGTAAAATGATTATATTTACTGCTCACTATCAAAAATTTAATTTATGTGCATTCTAATTTATGATAACATAAATAATAAGCTAACACTTCGTCGTTTCTGTTTATGCTTCAGGTGAGTGGCAGGCTGCACCCGCTGTCTCTGCAATGCCAAATAGATGGTCGATGTGCGTATCTGTCGATCGTCAATTTATCGGTTGCGGCGAATCGGATGCTGCACCCGGTGAGTGACGAACCTCCCCCACCATGGCTACCTCCCGTAGCTCACTTTGACCGATATGCTCCCAGACCAATCAGTATCCAAGTACACAGTATCATCCATATAAGCCTAGCTCTGTTGTAGTCGTTCCCCTTTCTGGTCTCTCTACCTGTAGTTTCTGCTTTGGTGCAGTAGCATGTAGATAGGGGATTGAATTATCGAGGGTGGCCAATCAGCCGCGGATCCGGGGTGTCGTTTGCGAAAAATCGACCGAAAACAGAGTCACATTCTCCCAATGTGCATTGCGATAGGTTGTACACAACTTAGAAACTCAAATACGTAACGAAAAGGCTACAACTATTTATAGGGTTAATATATAGGACGTAAAAAGCATCTAACTCTCGATAGATGAGATTGAGTCGATGTTTATTAATTATTAGTTCGTGACGAACTTAACAGAGGCACGACTCTTTATCATAATTCAATGTACAAAACTGCTATTAGCACGGTTCTCCTCATTTTTCATTGCTTAATATATTTTTTTCTCGAAAATGCGCACTCGATACAATCTCGCAAGAAAGAGAGAAAAAAAAAGATAAAGAGAGGAAATAAACTAGACCGATTTTATCTGTTAATGTTATGTTTTTGTTATTTTTTTATTATTTGCGAGCAATAAGAGAGTGCGTTTATATTGTTACCACTTTCGCTTTGCTAATAGTAATTTTCGCTCATTTGTTATAAAAAGACTGTTTTATTTCATTTCGTTATTACTTAGAATTATTATTTGAAAACGTATACCAGCAGCAAGTGAGATGAATTAATGATGGAAATGTAATGCTTTCGATTGGTACAAAATATACATATATATATATATATATATATCGATATTCGATAATTTTGTTAATGTTGTATAGAAACGTTTATGATGTGCGTCTGCTTAAGTACCTGCTAAAGCGGTCAAGAGTGCGCGATCTCGAGATGGATATCTCTTTTAAAATAAATTTAGAAAGGATCTTTTAAAGAAAAAGAGAGAAAGAGAAAACGTTTCTTTTTTCCAATCAGCAATGATCTGAGAAAAGTAAAACGAAAAGATGGATTATAAATGCGAATATTGTAATGTATGTATTCTATCTAGTACCTAAACGCCTGCTCTAAAGAGATTTGTGGCGCTATCCTATAAAACAACTCTATTCTAGTTAATGAATGTATACGAATAGCCGCTAAGAGGATGTGAGAATAATACGTAAATGCAGTATTTCTAAGAGGTATGTAATGTTAATAGTTATTTATTTTGTGGATTTCTCGGAACAAATATTTCATTGCTCTGCTGTGCTATACGTTATCAATTAGGCACATAGTCCTGTGTTAGGGATAGGTGTTACCTATGCGTAATGGTAGTTATTTGTGTAAATGTTCCGCGTGGCAAATTCTTCTTTTTTGTAATATATTAGGATACTAACTATTTACAAATCTGAATCCTGATTGTATGTAATCCGACAGCGACCAGGGCCGCACTAGCTGCCTGTGACTAAGATTATATTCCGACGTTTTTCGGGACGGTTGCCGTTTTGAACGCTATTGTAATATTACATTGATTATACGATTGCTAAAAAAATAAATGCGATGTAAACTTAAAATTCCACGTCTTACGCTTCATTGCCTGCGGCCCTGGCCGCAGCAGTTTATCCCTTATACCATAGATCTGCTTTCCTTGATCCCGTCATTTGTTACCCTTCCGCGATATGAATCAAATTTTAAGAATTAATATATTCAATTATTATTAAATTACATCGCGAGTACGATCTTTACGGTAACAATATGATAATATTTTCTAGATCGATAATAAGCTATATGATTCTTTGATCTGGTTGTTTGTCATTAACAAAAATATTACTTTAACGCGAGCAAAATTTTCTATCGCGCGTTTCGTTAACAATTCCTTAACGATATTACGATGTAGAAAGTAGAGAACGTGCGGCGCTTGCTTTATGGCACTTAAAGCACTCGTTAGGCAGTGTCATCGCGGTACAGGATGGAACCGCCTTAACGGGCGCCACGTTGATCCAGAGTTGAGCTTTCCACGGACAACCATAAGTCTCGCGACGCTCGGGGATATTAATATGTTATTGCGGAAAGACTTCCTCATGAAAGTCGACAAGGACTGCAAAAATATGTCCCGCGTGTCTCGGCGTCTCCAGGGGTGGCACACACGTTCAGCATAGCATGGTGGATGCTTCTATCGTTCGCTATTCCTATATACGTGCGCTAACACGCACGAGCATACACAATCGCATACCCACATGTACAGACGGAAGCTCTCGTTACTATCGTACACGTAGCGGGGAGCGGTTGGGGGCAGAATTCAGCAGACGCCATTTGTATTAATGAAGCTCCCGACAATGGTGCACGCCCGATGAATTATGTACCTATGTTCGAACCGAACGAAGGTACATAACCGATCTAGGCATAAGTTTGCTATTGGTCTCACGCAACACTTCCTATTCTCTGATCCTTAGTTATAACTTTGTGATCCTTGGTTCTTTAATCTTAAGGGTGAAATCGATTCTCGAAAATCACATTTTGGAGATCTCATTACGCACGTGCTTTCATATTGAACGTTATTATCTCAAATCCGAGAAATAAAATTACATTTTTTTTTCAAATCAATGCTATTTAATAAAAAATATATTAAAATTTATCCAAGATAAATAAAAATGAAATTTAATTATCCAAAAATATATATGAAATCAATTTAATCAGTTACATACTAAATCAAGATAGTTATTTTAAAAAGTAATAGGTTTTGAAGATATTACATATGTGTTTTATCGCAAGGATTTTTTTTCTGTAACTGTATTATAATTTTATACAACTTTTAAGTCGTATAAATTTAAGATCGAATCAAAACTTATCTAAAAGAAATAAAAATAAAACTTGTATTAAAATTTTATATTATATATTTTACACATTGTTTTTAGATTATATTTCTAAAGCAAAATGACATTAATTAATAATTCACATATTGTTTATTAACTTTTTTATTTAGTTGAATGCATTATTTTTCATTTTGTTGTATAAACCGCTATGTTTTTAGATATTTATCGTTAACATTGACTAAGTATGAATTAAAATTCATTCTTAAGTAAAAAACGTCGGTAAAAAAACATAATTTTGATCAAAACCGAGAGTATTAGCTGTGTAGCTGCAATCTATTACGTGAAAAGACGTAGCGAGGCATCCATCTCGCCATGGCGCGGATAAAACGACCGCTTTACTTTGGATTACAGGGGGAACAATTTACAGCAGGCACAAGAGCACCTGTTCGTTCTTGAGGAGATGGAAAGGTAGGGACGCGCACAACGCGAGGGGTAGTCTTTTAAGGGTGTGGGAATAGCGTGCTTTGCAGACGTTGCGGTAATTGAATCCCAGTAAGTCCCTCTATATAGGTGTATTCACTTAAATGTATAACACTATTCTCCTCCTTCCGCGCCATCTTTCTTTTGCTTCTTTAATCTTTCCACCTAGCTCTTTTCTATTCTGTGCAATGATTTTTCGTTGATGGCTAGATATTATGAGAAATTTTATTCATTTTTAAAGTTTCTTGATTCGGTGCAAACGACTTTCAATAGGCACAGTTTTTTTGTCTTCAACTATTATAAAGTGTTCATATCTTTCTTTTAAAATCTTTTTATAATTTTTATTATTACAAATCAACATTTTTCTTTAATATATTAAAATTAATGAAAAGATGAATTTGCGCGTGCCACATGTTAAGAATTTTTTTTGTTCAATACGAAGGAATCAGCAATAGGTTTTGTTATGTGAAAACTCATTCTGCGATACTCCTCGAGGAGTCTACTATCCCAGCAACGAAATCCTGATGTACGAGCTTCACGTTTCAGCAGCTCCTTGGCTCGGGCCGACTGATATGAATGTGTTAGGTGTAGATGAGCCTAGCGTGCTCCGCCCTCATATAATTACTTCACGCTTCTCTCTCCGTAACCTGGTGCCCTCAGATACTTCCTCCCTTTTCTCCTCCTCCTGTTTCTCCTCCTCTTCCTCCTCTTCCTTCGTCTCCTTCTCTTCTCCCTCCTCTCCCTCCCCCCTCTCTCTCTCTCTCTCTCTCTCTTTCTCTCTCTCTCGCGATGTTCTAGCGGTGTTTCTATATCGTCGTGCTCTTGCAGGGTGGTTTGCCCGTAGTTGCATGCACCGCTCGCAAATACCATCGTATCCTGTGCGCTTGGTATAACAAGGGGGTTGGAGGAGGATTCAGTCGGGTTTGAGGGGGTGTTGTGCAAAGGGGAGGTTATTAGGCAACGCAGCACCTCATCCCTCATCCACGTAACCGCGCCGCAGCGTGTATTATGTAACAACACGGAAACGAACTGTGAGGTGGTTGGTTGGCTGAAAGAGAAATGGAGAACGGTCGAGTAGGATAGAGAAGGAGAAATGCAAAAGCCTCGCTGATGTTGCTCTTGCTGCTGCAAATATTACACGTATTCGTAACGATGCGCTCATAACTCTCGGTTAGTATCTGTTATTTCCACGAGTGCTGAATCATTTTCGATTCGAGCACAAATTATATCTCCAAGCATTTCAGGAGCGCTCTCATTAAGATTCGTTTACACTAGTCAAGACATTCATACTTTATATCGCGCTTTAATATTGAGTCTTCTTCTCGGATTCCTGAGGAATATGTTCTATGTTCTCTTTTATTTTGTTTCAAAACATCATTTTGATAAAATGTTTAAATATATCTTAATTTATTGTATAATTGATAGACCTGGATCAATAGATTCAGAATTCAAAATATATTTTGATATATTTACATTTACGCACTGTATTACACATACATTCTGATACTTCTTTGGATAGATTCTGGGAACAAATCCCACTAATATATGAATCTAGAACTTTAATAATAGCTGCTAAGTTTGGAACACATACATCTCACGGCATTATCAGAAATCTTAATTTACAATTGAGTTCTGGCGGTTTAACGGACATTTTGCGGCCAATATAATGTCTAATAATTCTAATAATTCGCCGGTTTAGAGATGAATGGTGGGAGGGAAGGGTGGTGGCGCATAGGGTGAGTACGTTCCCTGGAGCCGTGCCCGGGAAGGTAGGGAAGTGAAACCGAGATGAAACGAACGAGGAGAGGAAAGGGGGATACAGAGAGAAGGAGGCATGGAAGTGAGGGAGAAGAGAAGAAGGAACAGGTCGACCAAGGGTATGGGCCGAGGAAATGGAGGGAAGGCCAATTAGAGGGCGGGAAGATTTATCTGCGGGCGACGGGTGTGCGGATAGTAAGGGGTAGGTTGGTCTCTTCTGCCTAGTGCACTTGTATTATTTCTTGGTTGGACAACCCCGTTCAAGATAACGGTAACGTCCACCTGCTATTGGCTGTCCCTGATCCTTTATGAATTAGTTGTTAATTTAATTTCTCATTGTTATCTGCATAACATGGCAGAGCGTACTATTTTTTATATGTATTCATATATAAGTGCTAATAATTCTTATTATATATACATATATTGTGTTTAAATATTGAATCTTTTATTTCATTAAGAATATTAATTTTTTTTAATAGATCGAATTCGTATACTTAAATAAATTTTGTTTTAATATTAAATTATTATAAAATTCTGTCACCTAAATATATAGTATATCATACGAACTACGCACAAAGTAA